ATGATCGAGGCTCAGATTAAAGCAGGGGGAAGAGCAGGGCTGGCGAGGAGGATTTTGTATAGGTGCACATTCGCACACAGCCTCTACTCGTTTATATGTATAGCTGCCACGTGTTGTCATTTACTATTTTATAGCTGCCACGTGTTGTCATTTATTATTTTATAGCTACGCCGTGGTGTTAACGACGGCTTTGAGGGAGCAGGCAATCAATTGCCCCCGTTCTGCGAATCACTAATTGCAAATTGCATTCGTCAGCGTTCCATGAGGTTCTCTTCTTCGTGTTGCCGGATTAGGCGATTCGTTGTGGTATTCGAAAGCGTGTACTTGGACTACTACGTCGGCGTATACACTCCCACGTTCGTACTGTATTTGCTTCTCGTCGATTGAGTATATATATCATTGCCGATCGACTTTCAAGAGTGAATACTTTTCGCTTCTGCCTGTCGTTTATTCGTTTTTCTTTTCTTTTTTTTTGGTTATATTTCACTCTTTTTTGTTCTCGTCACCTCTTTCTTTGTAGGGCAATTTCTGACTGTATCCCTTTCCTGCCTTCGGTTGTGATCGCGGCCGTGCGCTCATTTTTATCGCCGCCTCGGTGGTCTGCGTTTTGTATTCGTGTTTAACCGAGAACACACGTATGTGTATGTTTTGAGCTATATATTCAATGATCCGTATTCAGAAGCACGTTTACGGTCATTGCTTTCTTCCTTCTTTCTATATCTATGTCGTCTTTCTTTGTTTATTATATCTATGTCGTCTGTTTGGATTTTTTAAATCCGTATCGTATATGCAGAATCTCTATTCTCCAAAGGATGACATGGTCACCACCTCTGAATGTCGTTGATTGTGGCTGAATGTCGTTTTCTCTGATCTCTCTGCCTTGCTTCCAAAGGTCTTTTCTCCTTGACCATCGGTGTGTTAGGTGCACCATAAAGTTGAGCGTGACACGACGGGTCGGGTTGTATTGGCGACAGCTGTGACTTCGGTCCCGACAGCTATTTGCCGATGTCCCTCGGTCGTATGTCTCTCGGTCGTCCGTCTCTCGCGGTCGTCCTGTCTCTCTGTCGTTTGCCAATTTTTTGGGTGGGGTTTCGTCCTTTTGATCGTCTCTCTCACGCTCTGCGACCTTCATCGCGTGTTTTTCTTTTTTTCATGTTTCAAGTGTGTCCTCTACTTTGGAAGCAGTTCTGCTGTCGTCGATTTGTGGAAGATATGCGGATATCTCGGAAAAAGGGTAATCTGTGCAAGCAACGATGGTTGCTGTCTTGTTCTTTCTCGTGTCAGGATCATCGGGTTTCTTCATCTTTCTTGTGTGTCAGTTTTGTGTTTACATTCTCTTCTCGATCCTTGTCTCTCTATATCGACGTTTGGGTTCATAATATTACATTATGTTTTCTATCTTTGATTTGTTTTTGTCTCTTTCGTGCCCTACGAGTACTTGGGTTGATTCTCTCTCTCTTTCTCTCTCTCTCTTTTGCTTGCTCGTTCTTCCCCCTGTCTCTTTTGTCCCCTCCTTTACGTTCTCTTCTCGATCCTTGTCTCTCTATATCGACGTTTGGGTTCATAATATTACATTATGTTTTCTATCTTTGATTTGTTTTTGTCGCTTTCGTGCCCTACGAGTACCTGGGTTGATTCTCTCTCTCTCTCTCTCTCTCTCGTTTTTGCTTGCTCGTTCTTCCCCCTGTCTCTTTTGCCCCCTCTGCCTTTTTCCCCCGTCCTTATCTTCCCCGCCTCTCTTTCTCTCTCTCTCTCTCTTTTGCTTGCTCGTTCTTCCCCCTGTCTCTTTTGCCCCCTCCTTTGCCTTTYCCCCCCGTCCTTATCTTCCCCGCCTCTTTTTCTCTCTCTCTCTCTTTCTTTCTTACATTCCGCGCGCGCGCTCTTTGTCTGTCGATTTCCTGTTCGCTGTAGTGATTGCTTTGATTCTTATTACAGTATCTGTTTTCTCGAATTTGCATCCAGCTTGCTAAGATATTCCTCTCGCCTTCCACCCTCTTTCAAGATTGAATTTACTCTGTTTCGTTTATGCTTGATGTCGAAGTCGGGAAAGTAAAATTGTTTTTCCTGCGTTGTTTGTGGTTTTGTATGTCTTTTCTCGTCTTTTTTCGCTCTACATTTCTTGCCGGTCACGTTCCATTTCGCAATTGGTGTTCCTTTCCATCTCCCTGCTTGGCTTGCTGCGCTGCTGACTTGCGCACGCGATTCATGAATCTTGACTACTGCTGTGGGGCTTCGCGCCCGCGGCAATTTCTGTCTCGCTTGTGATGCCTTTCGGCTCTGTCATTCTTGTTCCCATCCATCCTCCCATGTCGTCGCTCTCTTGTCCCCTCCCCTTCGTTCTTTCTCTCTCTCCTCTCTCCTCCTTTTCCGACTCTCTCTTCCGCACTCGCCCCCCGCCCGTCCTCTTGCTCCCTTCCCCCCCAGTTCCCGCCTGTTCTTATTGTTTTGTTTTCTGTTTGCTATTGTCGTCGTTTCTGTTTCTCTCTTCCCCCGCTCTCCCTCTTTTCCCCCCTTTCTCCCCCTTTCCCAGCTGTTCGTATGGTTTTGCTCTCTGTTTGCTATTGTCTTCGTTTCTATGTCTATCTTCCCGCGCCCCCCCCCCCCCCCCCCCCCCCTCTCCCCCCTTTTCCTCCCCCCCCCCCCCCCCCTTCTTCTCTCATTCCTTTCTTCGACTTCTGGTGTTTTGCGTTAGGCGAAGCTATGTTATGGGTTTGTTGTACGCGTTTTCTTCCATTTTGTAAAGCCGTGTGTGGTTTCTCTTTGTCATCCATTATCTTTGGTCTGATTCTGTAGCTGTCTTTGCCCGTGTATGTTTGCCTGCGCCTGTCTTCTCTAGGGTTTTTGCGTCGTTACGTGCAATATACGTTTATGACCCTCGCTCCACTACACAACACACTCTATATGTATCTGGAGTTCAAAATCGTCTTGGACTCCTTAGAAAGCACCTGGTCCACGAGGGTGCGCAGATGCATGTGCACTTTTGAGTAGTGGAGCGAGGCCTGACATTTGGGAGGGCGACAATTGATTTGTGACCGAACATCGTCACCTTCCGCCGCTTTGCCTTCCCGTTTAGTTTTTGGACAGTACGTATAGGCGACGGGCTTGATGGGTTGCCATTCTGCCGCCACGTGGCTCTTGTTGTATAACTTCTCTTGCAATTGATTTTCATCAGGTTGTGGTGGATGATGTAGTCCTATCGACGACGAACTTGAACTTGATGAAAGGACTGTAAAGCCAATGGAAGGTGAACAAATGGTGCAAAGGGATTGGCTGACGGTAATTGGGGGGGTGTCACGTGGAGATCGTTGAGCAAGACGCCTTTAGATAAAGCGAGGCAACTGTCCTTATCCTTGGTGTCTGACCTGAGGGTGTTGGGGGGCGGGTGAGAGAGATGGGCCGGCGGAGGGGGTGTGGTGGGGTGGTGGCGCAATGTGTACGTACTGTACAGGGTGTTGGGGGGCGGGTGAGAGAGATGGGCCGGCGGAGGGGGTGTGGTGGGGTGGTTGCAAGAGCGTGAGCGCAGGGGAGAGGTGGACTTTTCGCTTTGCGGCGGCGCGCAGCAGTCTTGAACGGATCTTTCAAGCTATCACCACCCCGGGAGAGAGAGGCTGATGAACATGTAGGTAGGTAGGTAGGTAGGGGAAGAAGTCGAAGCGAGCGAGCTCGTTACACGCGCCAGGCGGTTCTTTGAGAGGCATGGACGGTCGTAATACATCGGCAATGGTGAGCGCAAATAAACGATATTTTATTTGCTCTCGTGAGCTGTGTACTGTCGCCCTGCTGTGGATGAAATCAGCAACGACGTGCACAGAAAAAAAAACTGTGTTCACCTATTCCCTGGGGAGGGAGGTGTAATAACTCCCAGCAGTTGGAAAACACCAGCATGTGAAAAACTGACACGTGTATGAGGCTCCTACAGTCACTTGAATGATCTGGGTGGGTCGGCTGGTGGTGGTATCACTGTGTTTCTTGATTTTTCAGCTTCGCATTGTTGCAAGAACTTAAAGAGTGGTGTGCTCTGGAAGGCTGGAAGGTTCGGAATCCAGTGCAGATGTAGATGTGATTGTGTCCGCTGCTAATGGTAGATATGGATTTGTAATTAGGTGCTGATTTCTTAGTCTAAGTCTACTAGATGGTGTAGATTTTGAGCAGTTTTTTGGGTCGTGGATGGATCTGTATCGACGGTTGACCGTGTCGTAATCCGGGCCGTGACAGGGCCGCTCCAGAGAGAGCCAAGTCTTTTTGGCAGACAATGGCGCCAGTGCGGATATGTGGAAAAAATTGAAATGATGTGCACATTTCATTTAACCGCTCAGATCTTGCTCGTGTCCTCTGATAGATCTTAGGGTCATCATATCATCTGTATATAACCTGAAATTGGTCTGAATACGAGCACCTCCTGTTCTCGTCGAAGAGGAAGACTGTACTGTCGCCTCAGCTGGACTCGCTCTTTTGTATGCATTTTTCGATGTACTTCCGAATACGTGCGTACAGAGCAAATGAAGAGAGAGAGAGAGAGAGAGAGAGAGAGAGAGAGAGAGAGAGAGAGAGAGAGANAGGAGAGAGAGAGAGAGAGAGAGAGAGAGAGAGAGAGAGAGAGAGAGAGAGAGAGAGAGAGAGAGAGAGAGAGGTCGCAATGGTTTACTGGGGTTCGCTCATCTTGGTAGTATATACTGGGTTTAACGAGGTGCATGATTTGTGAATGAGGTAAAGTGCTTAGCTGTCCCGATGAGAACGAGATTTAATTAATTTTAGGATGTATTTGGTTGTGATCGATCTTCTCTGGCCTCCACGACGGTTGTCATCATCCTGGCAATCTGGTCGCGTCTGTACTCTTTTTTTCAAAGAAAAGCCGAGCGGCTCCAGTATAACGCTGTGGAATTCTCTTTAACATCTTCAAAGAATGTCCACGATAGGTAGCAAGGGGTTTAAGCTGCGGTAAGAGGAAGGAAAGGGAGGAGAGAATAGGAGAAGAAGATTGTGAGCGCGAGCAGCTTGAATTGGATCGGACGCGGGTATTGCTTCTTTGTCCTACAGCGGTAGTGATGGGATCAAAGCCGAGCGAAGGAGGAAGGAAGGATGAAGAATGAAGGTGGGGATGAAAGTGGGGATGGAAGTGGGTGAGAGGAAGTCGCTGAAGAGATGAGGAGGAAAGCAGAGGAAATGAAGTGGGTGGAGAGGGAGGAAGTTAGGAGAAAGGGGTGGAGAGGAGAAAGGGGTGGGAGAGAATGGGTGGAGGGGAAAGGGGCACGCAAGTGAGGAGGGGAGAGGGGTGAAGAGAGCTGAGGAGAGAAATGAATGGAGAGAGGGGATGAGAGGATCAGAAGGCGCGGAGGAGAGAACTGAATAGAGGAAGTGAAACGGGGGTCGAATGGAGGAGTGGGAAGGTGAGAGTGATAAATGGAGGTGTAAGGTTGGGAGGAATGTCAAAGGGTAACTAAGTGAAGAGCTAATGTATAATGTGCTTGTGCATGGGCAGGTACAGATGATGATGGTATTCTCCCATTGCCCGAGCGTCCTACTCGAGGTCTGCGCACAAGTGGGAATGGAAGAGGCCCCGCCAATTATGGAAGGCCATTGCCGTCTGTGCCGTCTTATGAAGAGCAGCTGCGAAAGCTGGAGACGGATGCCTATCTTGCCGTGCTTAGTGCCTTTGTCGCGGGGAATGAAGCGATCTCATGGGTATGTTACAATTACAGTTTTGGTTAAGTAATGAGTTTTGGTTGTTTTCGAGGATGGCTATGAATGTGAATGGTGTTCCCTTAAAAGTAATTTGAGTTTGACTTGTGGCAGGATATGTGGAAACCTGATCGCTTCGTTTTGTTGCCTTCTTGATGCATGCATGATATGTGTTTGGGGAGGAGCGGCTGCGGTAGTGAATGGATAGTCCTGTGGGCGAGTCCTGCGATGGATGGATGTATTGCAAGGATGACAGATCGGTGCTGGGGTGAGAAAATGAAAGTCTGAACAGATCGAGTCAAGAGAAAGCAACTGTTGAACTGAAATCCTGTGTGATTGTGTTCCCCAGAAAAATTAGTCTACATATTTTACAAAATCGTTAGTCTTTATTCATCTGAAAGTCGTTCGGTCGTTGTTGTAATGGGACGGAAACCTTTTTTCGATGCCGTTGTCTCCGTCTGGACTTCCTTTTCGGGTCAAGGTGGGGGCCTTTTTCTGGCTCAGTGTAAGTGACACATTTGCTATGACTGCTTCTCTCTCTCTCTCTTGTGGATGATCAACGTCCCTCTGATTGAGGACGACTTGGCAGTTGCTTCTCTCTCTCTCTCTCTCGTACTAATCCACAGCTCCACACTCTTATCTTGAAATTCCATGTGTATCATCAGAAATGGTAATTGTTTCCTCTCTCTGCTTGGCGAATCCTCTATCTCTGTCTTTGGTTGACTGCCACGTAACAGATGAAGTTATGTCGCTGCAGTCCGCTGCAAATTGGCTTCCGATCCGCTGCGTGCGGGCTCTCACTTAATCTTTGATTCACTGAGGGCGAATACTCTGCATCTATGTGGAAGACAAACATAGGCATTTCGCAGCAGGTTGCCTCTGGAAAGTTGGTATGGGAGGGTTCATGAATTGTATCTGCTGTTCCTTTGTTTTATTCTATGCCCACACGAACACTGCAAGTTGGGTCTCCTCGTGTATATGTTTTCTGTGTGACCTTTCCTTTTCAATGTTGGAGCACGTGGGTCTCCGCTTGTTGCTGTGTTCCCTGATCCTTAACTACAGTAGTCATTGATTGGCAAAGCTTCATCCATTCCTGAAAGCTTGATATTTTTTGGCAGATGTGTTAGAGACCTGCATCGACGAGGTTGTTGGCAAGTCAGAGGGTCTATTTCTTTCAGAGATGTCGGGGAGAAATGCGATGTCTGGGAGAAGAAACCCCTGCAAGGCCCCTGGTTAACAACCGGGTCTAATTCTCCGCTTATGCTGTGTGCTATTTTGGTGGGAAGGGAAATGCCGACCTGTGCAGTTGATGCCGCCGCCGTCGTTGATCTGACTTTGTGTAATATTTGGTTAAGTGGAGCTAGCGACTGATTGTGTTTCGTTGCTCTGCATGTTTTGTTTTCTGACATGGCATTGCTCACTCTCAGGCGAAGGAGCGGCTAATGTGTGAGTTGCGTAAGGAGTTGAGGGTGCAGGATGAGCAGCACAGTCAACTTCTCTCTCGGGTGTTTCAAGACAACAAAATTATGCAAATACGGTAAGTAACCCCGTTGTCGGACAGCAATGACAGTGTCTGTGTGGGTTTTCAATTCTGCTAAAATGTCTAGCCCTGCTTAGAATCAACCCGACCTGCGTTGACGTGTTGCTGCCTCCAACAAAAAAAAAGAAACTGGTGCCTGGTTTAGTGCTGCCTCAAAAATGTGCAAAGGAAAGATTGAGTATGAAGCTAGAGTTCCGAGAAGGCTGCGAATTTCTTCTCTTCCATTCAGCCACGTGGACTGGGTTCCATGCGTTATGAACTAGTATCTTTCAGATTGGATCCGTGGGTGTCGTGAATGCAGGACAGTGTCGTGCGGTTGCCGATGCTTGTGGGGGGTGGGAGCATCCTCTTCGTGTGGTGCTGTATGATGATTTGTTCCTCAGATCTGCTGTATTGGTTCGGGTCTGGCCAGAGGAGGTTGTGCCTAAACTCCTTGGGAGTGGATGCTCTCCCGATGTGGGACCTAAGGCATAGGGCCTTGGACCTACTCTCCAGAGATTCCCACTGGAAGGGCCAAAGCAAAAGCATGCTATGGGCAGCTTCAAGTCTCCTGCAAACCTCCATAGATGAATGGGATGCCTATAGTGCACCGTTTTCTATGCTGTGCTGTATCATCTACCAGCTATGAACTGTACTACAAACTACTATCAGCTCTTCTCCATGTCCCATACCTGAGGCGGGCCTAACTACTATTGACTGTGGCACATGTACTACAACTTTCAGTGCTATTGGCGACTATGGTTCTTCGTCCGCTTCTACCAACGCTTGATGTGCTAGCAACTCTTGCCATTTTCTACTACTGTCTTCACCCGAATAGAATGACTGGTCATTATGGCTGTATATAGACTGGCCCAAATACAGCTATGATGACTGGGCGTTATATTCGGGTGGAAGACGATAGCAGTCGTATGTCAGTGACATTGGGTGTGTTATGGATGCTCAGTATACCCAGAAATAAGGCATTCTCAGTCAGCAGCACAGGACAAGGGTTACTGAGGTTGGCTCTTTTGCGGTTCTCTGGCAGGGGCGCTGGCAGCGGGTGGGGTGGGGGGTAGTCCGAACTTCCTAACGAAGTAATCGGCTCATGATATCCGAGTACCTCAACTTTTATCTTATAAGATTGTGTGAGAGCAGGGGTTTGGGAAAAAGAAGATTGTATTGAACTGCTGGCTGTGAAAATGGGATTTGGGCTAGGTTTGAGTGAGACAGGTTAGGTAGGCCGCTCAGCCATGTTGCAAAGGCGAGCTAATGCAGAAACCCTGGGGAAGGTGAACCAGTCTGAGGCTCCACTTCCTGCTGGCTGCCCCCCCCACCCCCCCCCAACCCCTCCTTCCCCCCTCCTCCTTTGCAAGGCGTGGATTTGTAGTAGCCTTCGTGGCGGCGGTATGATAATTGGGTCATAGATCATGGAAACCTCTTTGCAACTTTTCCCTGCATTGTTCTCAGCGGTCGTGGTGGTTGGATTACACACTCCTGGTTGCGTTTGAAACAGCGTGGAACTTAGTCCTTAATACTCCTTATGATCTTACGAAAGGAAGAATGACGTATCATTTACGTTACAAAAATACTTTGATTGTGTTTTCCGAGGTTCGTTAATAAGCCAGCACCTTTAACGACCACCGTGGTTACCAGGACACCTGCCCATTTTCAGATGGGTGATTCAATGGCTACAGCTTGTCCTTTTTGTCTGCAGGGTTGGCCCTGTTTCTCTAAAGGGTACTGCTGGCAGTGCTGGTTTGAAGATCAAACCGGCCAGCTTGAGAATAAAGGTTTGAACATTGATGTCTGTTGCTGTTGATGCTTAACATTTTGTATTGTGGCTTTTGCAAGGGCCTGTTTCCAGCAAAAGGCCGTTTGTTGCTATTGCCTGCATTGCTGACTCCATCTGCTACGAGTAGTACTTTTCGCACCGCTGCTTTTTGTTAATAATCAGTTGGGTCTGTGATTTGCGCATCTTTTTCTTGCCATGTCTGTCCAGTGAAAGAAGACAGCAAATAGAGGCTGCAGTTCCTCCGCAGCCACCTCCTCCACAAGTACCTATTGAGGACAGGTTCGGTTCAGTAGCAGGGACTCCCCAATCGAGAAAAAAACAGAAAACTGCGCACATTTCGGCCTCTCCTGCTCCACCTCTTCCGCCTGCTCCGTCATCCCCTCCGCCATCAAAACCAGCGCCGATTCCATCATTGCCACCTCCACAGCCGGCAGAAGCAGTGAGAAAGCGAGTGCCGTCTGTGACTGGAAGGGGGAAAAAGGGCAAGGTAATGTTTCCAGGTCTTTGCTTTTACAGTTCTGCTCCTGTGTCCAAGTACCTTGCCCTCCAACTCATCAGCTGCTTGCAATGCCTTTGTCTGGTCATTTTCTTCCTGTCGAGATTCTATGGCAAGAGCATTTGTTTGTTTCATCTCGGTCTCCTTGTTCCCCCCCCCCCCCCCCCCCCTTCCCAGCAGCAGCAGCAGCAGCAGCGAACAAAATATCTCCTCAGGTTCTCACTGCAACATGGCTTTCTCCGTTTCTACAGTCTTGGTTCTCTTTCTCCCACCTCGTTCTCAGAAGATGTGCAATGACTAATGTAAAAAACGATCTTCTTGTTTCTGGTGTCATACATACAGGGTGCCTTCCCTCCCTTTGCTCGATAAATGTGGCCTTGGTCCTTGATTGTAGGTATGGTGGTACATGCTTGGGTGGAAAGGTAATTTAGGTTTAGAGGTATTTTGACGAGTGGAGTGGTAACTATCACCGGGCCCCATATTTTGGTGAAACTGTGGTAAAATGCGGGGTGTTCGTAAAATTGGCGTTACTGACACAAATTAATTCAAAAATACACAGTATGCAAAATATTCTACAGATGTATCCATATGGCAACTGGTTAACATTTTTGTGGGTGTGTTTGATCCAGTGTGGATATTGTATGGGGAGGTGAAGGCAAGTAAGTACTTGATGATTATGCTTTCCATTCAGGCTGCTAGGCCATATTCCCCGGCGTGGCCTGACGTGTCCAGGCCGTGTTCACAATGTATGGCGAGCTCGGACTTTTCTGTTTTCTCGAATTTTATCTTCTCTGTTCCGTCGTTGGATGGTTGTGTGCTTTGGGGTCCTTAGGGGCATAGCGCCATTGGGCCTGCAACTTGCCTTGTGATAAGCATTTTCTGCTGAAAGGGGGCACAGAACCGTAGGGCACAGGATTGACGAAAAATGAGGAAGGGAAACGAGGACTGGAGAGAAATTGCAATGGGAATGAGAATGGCAAAGTTCGGCCTAGATATTGTAGTGTGTGAACTGTGCCTGACTGCTTGAGCGTGGGAAGTCTCATCAGGTACTTTCCCAAAGTATGGTGGGACAAGTGGGGACTGCCAACGGCTATGCATAGATGTGGACTTCTGTGAATGTGCGGACCAGTTCAGACAGCTATGTTCCTTGGCTGTATTTGATACCCCCTCCACAACTTTTTTTTTTTTTTTTTTTTTTTTTCTGCGTTTGCTATGTTCTTTACCTGTATATCATACCCCGCCCACAGCTTCGTTTTTTTTTTTTCCGCCTTTGCGACGTTTCTGATAAACGTGGAAAGCAAGCTATGTAACCATTCGTTTCTAGTCTAGGTTGATTCTGTTATGCACCACACTTACATCCATTCTCATCTTGGGTATTAACCCCCAAGGGCTGTGCTGGCACAAGGTCGCTGCTACCATAGATGACAATTTCAAATGGAGGAAAGGTTGACACAAAGCCTTGTCAGTCAATCATGTTATTTAGCCTGATGTGGCTGCGGGGATTAATGCTTGCCAGTCAACTGGCATCAAGCCTGAAGTGTGTCCAAGTAATCTTTTGCTAATGCCCCAATCTTTTCAACAAGCATGTGTGTGTGTGTGTGTGTGTGTGTGTGTGTGTGTGTGTGTGTGTGTGTGTGTG